ACGAACATCGCGAACATCGTCTGTCCGCCGCTCTGGGCAGAGACAGTGGCTGCTTCAAGACGTGGAAAACCGCTGTACGACAATATGCTGTTTCACTCTGACTAATCGCACTGTTGCCGATGTGCCGTCATGGCACGGCTTCTACGTACGTGCATGCCGCGGTTGTGCTCTACAGCGTCGTGGATCGAGTCTTCCTTTACATCCGAGTCCTGACCGAACTGATCTGGATCTGAAGCTCGAGCTGCCTGAACACATAGTAGCTGCCCCAGAGCTAATCGACAGGGGGACATGCCAGGAGGACGCGCCGCGAAACGTCCCAAGGGACGCGCCAGGCGACGTGCCAAGGGACGTGCCATGGGGTCGCACCGTAGAACGTGCCAAGGGGACGCGCTACGTGACATCCTCAAAATTCCTGCGCGCGGGACGCGGCACGCGCGAGACATCCTTGGAATTCCTGCGAGCGGGACACGAAAACAAGCATTTCGCCTGAGACATCCCCTGAATTCTGGCCCCCCACGGAGCCCCCGCTCGAGACATCCCCAAATTTTGAAAAACCAGCGTTTCGCTCGAGACATCCTCAACCAAATTATGAAAAACAAGCGTTTCGCTCGAGACATCCTGCCAACATTCTCAGAAATCTTGAAAAACAAACGAATTAGTCGAGACATCCTCCAAATTCCTGCGCGCGGGACGCGGCCCGCGCGAGACATCCTTGGAATTCCTGCGAGCGGAACGCGAAAACAAGCATTTCGCCTGAGACATCCTCTGAATTCTGCACCCCCACGAAGCCCCCGCTCGAGACATCCCCAAACTTTTGCAAAAACAGCGTTTCGCTCGAGACATCCTCAACAAATTATGACAAACAAGCGTTTCGCATGAGACGTCCTGTCAAAATTCTAAGAAATCCGGACAAAACAAGCGAATTAGTCGAGACATCCTCGAAATTCCTGCGCGCGGGACGCGGCCGGCGCGAGACATCCTTGGAATTCCTGCGAGCGGGACACGAAAACAAGCATTTCGCCTGAGACATCCTCTGAATTCTAGCTCCCACGAAGCCCCCGCTCGAGACGTCCCCAAATTTTGCAAAACCAGCGTTTCGCTCGAGACATCTTCAACAAATTATGAGAAACAAGCGTTTCGCTCGAGACGTCCTGCCAAAATTGTAAGAAATCCTGACAAAATAAACGAATTAGTTGAGACATCCTCGAAATTCCTGCGCGCGGGACGCGGCACGCGCGAGACATCCTCAGAATTCCTGCGCGCGGGGCGCTTTTCCGCGTCGCGGTCGGGGCTCCAGACCCCGTTATTTGTCGAAGATTCGGCGAAAAACGCTCCGCACCTTCTTTTTTATGGTGGAAAACGGAGGTCTGCGGACACCGTTTTTTTCGAGGATCCGAGATGGGGGGCGCACTTTCCTCGAGCGGGCACGCACGAAACGCATTTGTTTGAACAGAAATCAGCACTTTACCTCGTTATTTACGCAGAATAATTTCGACGGCTCTCTTCAAGTCAAAACCGGGGGTAAACCCACTAAAAGAGAACCCTGGGCCGGCGCCCTTTCCGGAAAAAAACACACAGATTCAGACCCCTAGAGAGGACCAATATATAGGCACATACGTAAAAACATACGGATTCACACTCCTGGAGAGGGCCCCTCTGTCCTCCTGGGGCCTGACCTGGACATGTCAAACAAGCGTCTCGCTGGAGACATCCTTGGCAAACTCTGCAGAACAAGCGTTTCGCTTGAAACATCCACGACGAACGAAGTGTCCCGCACCTTGTAAAATATCGATCGTGATTTCGAAAACAAGCGTTTCGCCTGATATATCCTAAAAAATAATTCCGCCGGCCCTTCCCGACCTTGATATTTATCAGGGAATAATTCCGCCGGCCCTTCCCCAACATGGCACGGGGGACAGTTTACAAACTAACAGAGAACCCTGGGCCCGCGCCCTTTCCAAGAAAAACCTCTAAAACAGAACCCTGGGCCTAAGCCCTTTCCGGGAACAACGTCGGGAAAGATGGCGTCGAGGGTTCCAGACCCCGATGCCGTGCTTTTTGTTACGTCGGAGCTGCTCAGGGCTAGGTGGCCTGTGTCAGGGCGCCTCCTGCCCCCGACCGCCCAGTGGGGCTTCCGCCATTAGCGGACCCAGGCCTCTGGAGGCTCGCAGCGCGGGGAGTCTTGCTCTGCTCGGGATGCGGCCCCTCCTGGCCACCCCCTCCCCGCTTCCGGCCCTGCAGGGCCTGGCAGTGCTCGGGGTCGCGCTGTCGCGCCTGCTGGACCCACCCTTTTGCTTTCTGCCGCCTGCGCGGCGCTCGGGCCCAGCCGTCGGCCCCTCGATCCCGCCTTTGGGCCGCCTGCAGAGGCCTTGCATCCAGCAAGGACGCGACGTAATTGAGGGCCGGGAATGCCCCACATTCGGCGGAGTGGAAGGGGTCTCCTCGACCGCTCCCCCCCCCCCTCGGACGACGCCACTTTTTGGCTCTGTCTCCGAAAATAAGCCTCCTGATTTTCACCTCGCGTTTTATCACATTATTTTGTATCTCGTCGAATGGCGCGTGCTCGCCCTTTTCCGCTCGCCCTGTCTGTCTTCTTCCCCGTCTCGGCGCAGTCGAGCTCGAGACGGTGGTGCCTTGTCCTCCTCCTCTTTCTTCTCCTTCTCCTCCTCCTGCTACTCCTCCTCCTGCTCTTCTCTGCTCTGCTCCATCTCCTCATTGTCAGCACCATCGTCGTCGTCGTCCGTCGTCGTCGTCCGTCGTCGTCGCCCGTCGTCCTCAGTCATCGTCGTCGGTCGTCGTCGTCGTCTGTCGTCGTCTGTCGTCCGTCGTCGTCGTCGTCGCCGTCGTGGTCAGTGAGGTCGTAAGTAGTCGTCGTCGTCGTCGTTCAGTCGATGTCCGACGTCCGTCGTCCGTCTCCTGTCGTCGCCGACGTCGTCCGTCCGTCCATCCGTCGTCGCCGTCGTCCCCGTCGTCGTCCGTCGTCGTCGTCGTTCGACGTTCGTCGTCGGACATTCGGCGTTCGTCGGTCGACGTCTTCGTCCATCGTTCGTCGTCGTCGCCGTCGCCGTCGTCGTTCGTCATCGCCGTCGGTCGTCATCAGTCGTCGTCAGTCGTCGTCGTGATCGTCACCTTCTTCGTCGTTGTCGTCGTCGAAGTTGCTCGTCGCTCGTCGCTCGTCGCTTGTCGTCGTCGGCGTCGTCATTATTCGTCGTCCATCGTTCGTCCTTCGTCGCTCGTCGTTTGTCGTCCGTCGCCTGTTGTTCGTCATTCGTCGTTCGTCGCTCGTTTTTCGTCGTTCGTCGTCCGTCCTTCTCCATATCAGTCTCCCTCTCCTCCTCCTCCCTCTCCTCCTCTTCCTGCTCCTGCTCCTCCTGCTCTTCTCTGCTCTGCTCGATCTCCTCATAATCACCACCATGGTCGCCATCCTCAGTCGTCGTCGTCGTCGTCGTCGGCAGTCGTCGTCTTCGTCGTCGCTATCGTCGCCGTCCGACGTCCGTCGTCAGTCATCAAACGTCTGTCGTCTGTCGTAATCGTCGTCGTCGTCCGTCCGTCGTACGTCGTCGGCCGTGTGTCGTCGCCGTCGTCGTCTGTCCGTCCGTCGTCGTCGTCGTCGTTCGTCGTCGTCGTCGTCGTCGCCGTCGTTCGTCGTTCGTCGTCGGTCGTTTCTCGTTCGTCGGTCGTTGGTCGTCGGTCGTTCGTCGTCGTGTTCGTCATCGTCGTCGGTCGTAGTCGTCGTTCGCCGTCGCCGTCGGTCGTCATCAATCGTCGTCAGTCGTCGTCAGTCGTCGTCGTCGTCGTCGCCGTGGTCGTCGTCGTCGTCAAAATCGTCGGCGTCGTCGTCGTCGCCGTCCGCCGTCCGTCGTCCGTCGTCCGCCGTCATTCGTCAATCGTCTGTCGTCGTCGTCTGTCGTCGTCGTCGTCCGTCCGTCCGTCGTCCGTCGTCGACCGTGTGTCGTCGCCGTCGTCGTCCGTCGGTCCACCGTCGTCGTCGTCGTCGTCATCGTCCGTCGTCATCGTCGCCTTCGTCGTCGCCGTCGTTCGTCGTGCGTCGTCGGTCATTCGTCGTTCGTCGTTCGTCGGTCGTCGGTCATCGGTTGTCCGTCGTCCGTCGTCGCCTTCGTCAGTCGATCGTCGTCGCCGTCGCCGTCGTCGTCGTCGTCGTCGTTCGTCGCCGCCGTCGGTCGTCAGTCGCCGTCGGTCGTCGTCATCGTCAGCTTCTTCGTCGTCGTCGTCGAAGTCGCTCGCCGCTCGCCGCTCGTCGCTCGTCGCTCGTCGCGTGTCGTCGTCGGCGTCGTCATCATTTGTCGTCCGTCGTTCGTCCTTCGTCGCGTCGTGTGTCGTTCGTCGCCCGTCGCCCGTTGTTCGTCATTCGTCGTTCGTCGCTCGTTGCTCGTCGTTCGTCGCCCGTCGTCCGTCGTCGTCGTCGTCGGTCCGTCCGTCGTCGTCGGCGTCCGTCGTCGGTCGTCGGTCTTCGGTCGTCCGTCATCGGTCGTCGGTCTACATCGCCGCCGCCGTCGTCGTCGGTCGTCGGTCGTCGGTCGTCGTCGTCGTCCGTCGTCGGTGTCGTCCGTCGTCGTCGTCGCCGTCCGTCGTCAATGACGTCGTAAGTAGTCGTCGTCGTCGTCGTCGTCGCCGTCGTCGTCCGTCGTCAGCCGTCATCGTCGTCGTCGTCAGCCGTCGGCCGTCGGGTCGGTCGTCGGTCGTCGGTCGTCCTTCGAGGGAGGGACAAAGGGAGGGAGGGAGAGAGGGAGCGAGTGGGAGGAGGGAGGAGGAGGGAGTTGGGAGCGGAGGGCGGAGTGGTAAAAGAGGAAGGGAGGGAGGAAGGAGGGATGGGCAGAGAGAATGGGAGGAAGGGAGAGGGTGCAGGCTACCAAGAGTACGCCAGCTGGACTGACATACCTCAGCACAAACAAGGACAGGGAAAAACGGCCACACCAGGAAACGCGAGGGGCCCCAGGACCACACACGCCAGGGACCTGGGGGCCCAGACCAAAAACAGCCTACGGCGGGGGCTCGGGGTCCCCTCCTCGCTGACGTGGCTCGAGCCCACGGCTGATCCTGTCGATCGCCCTGAGCTGGTTCCTCCGAGTGCTGAGGTTGTCAGAGAGGCCTACACACTCACGCTTCAGCTTCCTGAGACTATTAACCTGCAACACTGAACAATGCCCTGCACAACGACGGCAGCAATACATTGAATTAACACGGAACACATCGTGCCCTAGAGCCCCACACTCCAGGATGAGGGGGTCCACATCCTCCCTAGAGGCCCCGTCGAGCACAGGTGGCTGGGAGGGGCCTCCTTCGGCCTCCTCGGGGGCTCCTTGGGGCTCTAAGGCGGCAGCGGCATCGAGGGCAGCGGCCACGCGCGCATCACTCACTGGCATCTCCCACACGTCGAGGGACGTCCTGAAGAACTCATTTGTGAGGGCCTGGGTGATCTTGCTGGGCACACACTTCCGACCCCCAGAGAGTGGGAGGATGGGCAGAAGCGGCTCGTCCCCCCCCCCGCCCCCGCTTCTGGGTCAAAGTAGGGGTACATAGCTTGCAGCTTCACGATGCGCTCCATGACGCGAACCTTCGGGAGGGCGGTGGAGGCGGCGGGGAGGAGACGGCGATGAGAGGCGAGGGAGGATGGAGTGGGGGGCCGAGGGAAGACCAAAGTTGAGGCCAAGATGCATCACCGATGTTGCAACATAGCCTCCCGTCCAGGGTCCCCTCCCCATCAGTCCCCATCAACAATCCTCTTCACTCCGCGAAGCGCCCCCCTCTGCAAGGCGGGCACTTCGGGCGGGAGCGCTCCGCCGTGAGCGAAGCCGCCCTCCGTACTTCGAGCCAGAAGAGAGTGCGACGGGGCGTGGTGCTGCGAGGGCTCAGGGAGGCGCCCAGCGACAGCCCCGCGGAGGAGCGGGGAAAGGGGGGGAGGGAGGCCAGGGGGGGCCCTCACACGGTGTGAGGGTCACGCTCGTCTCGAGCGCCACAGGCGTGCATCAGCCCGACGTTTGCCCCATCAGGAGGACGCCAACCATGCATCAACACCAATCGTGGCCAGGCCCATCCTGGGCCCAGGATGGGTACATACCCCCACCTGGCTGGGCCAGGCAGGCGTATGCACCAATCCTGAGTCCAGGATTGGCCTGGCAAGGGTCTGTGTTGGTATAGCTGGCGTCCGCCGACCCGTCTCGGCAACTGGGACCCTGACGGATCGATCTGGCTCGAGAATTACATAGAAAAGTGGAGTCGAAAACTCTGGTCGTCTATGTATTCACGACGCCGAACTGCTTCACGACGCCCAGTGTCTGGGAGGGGAGGGGGGCGAGGAGAGGGGGGGCTGTTAGGAGATGCGGGGAGGGGAGGGGGGAGGAAGGAGGATGGGAGGGGCAGGGGCAGGGGCAGGGGCAGGGGAAAATGGAGGGAGATAGGGCTACCCATCACAACGTGAGGAGGGGACGAGGACTCCAGAAGTCCTCCGATGATTCCATGGGTCTCTGCAGGGGCTCATGAGGCCCAAAACCTGGCAGACACGCAACTTCCGGAAACCTCAATCCTCGACCATTCACCGACGACGACGATGACGACGACAACGACGATGACAAGGGGAGGAGATGGAAAGGGAGTAGGCGATACACAATATTATAGAGGACGCTGTCAGGACCTCTTCCGACGATCATCCCACGCCATGCGCAGAACCATCCATGCGCTTCCACTCACATCCCCCGACCCAACGGCGCGGTGTATATGCATGCCTCGCCGATGGGAGGAACTCGTCTTTGAACTCTTCGCGCTAACGCCCGCCGTTACCGGGCAGCCCGCCCCCCCCCCTGGTAACGTAACAGTTCGCGCCTATGTCATCTGGGAACGGCGAGGGGCAGCCGATCTCCATTCGGCGCTGACACAAATCGTGACGTTAGCAACGTGTCCACGAGCCCCCAAGAGCGGTTTTGCAACCTTCTAGACTCTAGAGCCCGTAACCCCCCCTAGCCCGTCTGGCCCCTCCTTCTCCCCCCCTACCCCTCCCTCCTCTTCCCACCCTCCGCCCCCATCCCCCTCCACCCCCCCAGCTCACGCCCGCCATCGCCAGGGGACCACGGAAGCGGCGAACAGACCCCAGAAAGGAGGGCGCCGGAGCGGGCACGGGCGCAGGCCGCCCAGCGCTTCCCGAGCGCTCTGTTCCCTCGCGGGTGGGAAGCGTCTCGGTATCCACAGCCTCGCGGCCGGGACTGCTCGACCGCGGCTTGTCGCGCCACTTCGGGGGCCCTCTGTGGCCATCTGAGCCTCGTGAGGGGTGCCCTGGAGGCCACTTGTGCCTGCCTGGGAAAGCTGCCCTGGGCCAAGGCCACACCCGATCCGTGGATCATTACCCGGCGACTCTACGAGGATACCCCGCAAATCGAGACCGCGAGGACGCGGAGATGGACTGTATCAAAAAACTGTATCAAACATGATCGACCCACGAACTCGGAAAGGAATATAGAACTGTAACACATGGTAGCGTTTTCAAAGACACCTGATTGGGTGACGGGCAAATGCAATGCTGAGTGTATCGATCTTGATGTACCCTGCCGAGGGCTGCGCTGTGCTGCACCGTGCTGAATTGCGATGTGCCATGCCGCGAATGTGCTCCATGGCGTCATGGGTCGAGTCCTCCTTTGCATCCGAGTCCTGACCGAACTGATCTGGATCTTAAGCTCGAGCTGCCTGAACACATAGCAGCCACCCCAGGGCTGATGGACAAGGGAGCATGTCAGGAGGACGCGCCGCGAAACGTCCCAAGGGACGCGCCAGGCGACGTGCCAGGGGACATGCCATGGGGTCGCACCACGGGACGTGCCAAGGGGACGCGCTACGGAACGTGCCAATGGATGTGCCACGGGATGTGCCAGGGGACGCGCCACGCGACGTGCCAGGGAGACTCGCCAAGGGACGCGCCACAAAACGTGCCAAGGAACGTGCCAAATTGCAATGCTGAGTGTATCGATCTTGGTGTACCGTGCAGAAATATGTGCTGTGCTGCGCCGTGCTGAATTGCGATGCGCCATGCCGCGATTGTGCTCTATAGCCTCGTGGATAGAGTCCTCCTTTGTATCCGAGTCCTGACCAAACTGATCTCGATCTTAAGTTCGAGCTGCCTGAACACATAGTAGCTGCCCCAGAGCTAATTGACATTGGGACATGCCAGGAGGACGCGCCGCGGAACGTCTCAAGGGACGCGCCAAGCGACGTGCCAAGAGACGTGCCATGGGGACGTTCCGCGGGACGTGCCAAGGGGACGCGCTACGGAACGTGCTGGGGAAAAGCGTTTCGCTCGACACATCCTTTCAAAATCCAATGACATCCTGGCAAAACAAACGAATTAGTCAAAACATCCTCGAAATTCCTGCGCGCGGGACGCGGCACGCGCGAGACATCCTCGGAATTCCTGCGAGCGGAACGTGAAAACAAGCATTTTGCCTGAGACATCCTCTGAATTTGCAAAACCAGCGTTTCGCTCGAAACATCTTCAACCAATTATGAAAGACAATCATTTCGCTCGAGACATCCTGCCAAAATTCAAGGAAATCCTGGCAAAACAAACGAATTAGTCGAGACATCCTCGAAATTCCTGCGCGCGGGACGTGGCACGCGCGAAACATCATCGGAATTCCTGCGCGCGGTGCGCTTTTCCGCGTCGCGGTCGGCTCTGCAAAACCAGCGTTTCGCTCGAGACATCCTCAACAAATTCTGAAAACAAGCGTTTCGCTCGAGACATCCCCAACTCTGCAAAACCAGCGTTTCGCTCGAGATATCCTCAACACATTCTGAAAAACAAGCGTTTCGCTCGAGACATCCTCAAAAATAATTCCGCCGGCCCTCTTCCCGCATGTAGTTTATCGCAGACTAATTCCGCCAGCCCTCTTCCCGTCGATTCCGGAGGCAAACTTCTAACATGATCGACCCACGAACCCGGAAAGGAATATAGAACTGTAACACACGGCAGCGTTTTCAAAGACACCTGATTGGGTGACGGGCAAATGCAATGCTGAGTGTATCGATCTTGATGTACCCTGCCGAGGGCTATGCTGTGCTGCACCGTGCTGAATTGCGATGCGCCATGCCGCGATTGTGCTCTATAGCCTCGTGGATCGAGTCATCCGAGTCCAGACCGAACTGATCTGGATCTTAAGCTCGAGCTGCCTGAACACATAGTAGCTGCCCCAGAGCTAATTGACAAGGGGAGCATGTCAGGAGGACGCGCCGCGAAACGTCCCAAGGGATGCGCCAGGCGACGTGCCAGGGGACATGCCATGGGGTCGCACCGCGGGACGTGCCAAGGGGACGCGCTACGGAACGTGCCAATGGATGTGCCACGGGATGTGCCAGGGGACGCGCCACGCGACGTGCCAGGGAGACTCGCCAAGGGACGCGCCACGGAACGTGCCAAAGAACGTGCCAAATTGCAATGCTGAGTGTATCGATCTTGATGTACCGTGCCGAAATATGTGCTGTGCTGCGCCGTGCTGAATTGCGATGCGCCATGCCGCGATTGTGCTCTATAGCCTCGTGGATCGAGTCCTCCTTTGTATCCGAGTCCTGACCGAACTGATCTGGATCTTAAGCTCGAGCTGCCTGAACACATAGTAGCTGCCCCAGAGCTAATTGACAAGGGGACATGCCAGGAGGACGCGACGCGGAACGTCTGAAGGGACCCGCCAAGCGACGTGCCAAGGGACGTGCCATGGGAATGCACCGCGGGACGTGCCAAGGGGACGCGCTACGGAACGTGCTGGGGACAAGCGTTTCGCTCAAGACATCCTGCCAACATCCTCAGAATTCCTGCGCGCGGGACGCGGCACGCGCGAGACATCCTCGGAATTCTTGCGAGCGGGACGTGAAAACAAGCATTTCGCCTGAGAGATCCTCTGAATTCTGGACCCCCACGAGGCCCCCCACGAGGCCCCCGCTCGAGACATTCTCCAATTTAGCAAAACCAGCGTTTCGCTCGAAACGTCTTCAACCAATTATGAAAGACAATCATTTCGCTCGAGACATCCTGCCAAAATTCAAGGAAATCCTGGCAAAACAAACGAATTAGTCGAGACATCCTCGAAATTCCTGCGCGCGGGACGTGGCACGCGCGAAACATCATCGGAATTCCTGCGCGCGGTGCGCTTTTCCGCGTCGCGGTCGGCTCTGCAAAACCAGCGTTTCGCTCGAGACATCCTCAACAAATTCTGAAAACAAGCGTTTCGCTCGAGACATCCTCAAAAATAATTCCGCCGGCCATCTTCCCGCACGTAATTTATCCCAGAAAAATTCCGCAGGCCCTCTTCCCGTCGATTCCGGGGGCAAACGTCTAAAAGAGAACCCTGGGCTTCAGCCCTTTCCGGGAAAATTGATCACCGGATCCCTGGACCCAGTCTTCCGGTGACATTCTCCGAGACGGGCTGATCTGCGAGGGCCCCAGTGCCCGAATCCGGGCAAAACTGCCCGTTCTGAAACAAAGGCGATGCCAGGATGTCAGGGGACATGACCGCCGCCCGTGGCCGCCGCCGATCCAAGAAATCCGAGCGAAGCTCCGCAAGTTTATGTTTATGCAGC